ATATATCTATATATATATCTATATATATATCTATATATCTATCTATATATCTATCTATCTATCTATCTATATATCTATATATCTATATATCTATATGTATATATGTATATATGTATATATGTATATATGTATATATGTATATATATATCTATATATCTATATATCTATCTATATATCTATCTATATATCTATATATCTATATATCTATATATCTATATCTATATGTCTATATCTATATGTCTATATCTATATATCTATATATATATTCATATATATATATATATATTCATATATATATATATATATTCATATATATATATATATATTCATATATATATATATATATTCATATATATATATATATATATATATATATATATATATATATATATATATATATATATATATATATATATATATAAATATATATATATATATATATATAAATACGAAGGATGTCTTGAAAGCCTTTAGGAATGAAAATGAACAGAGACTACAAAACCACCTTATCTCACAAGGTTCTTTCTTCTCAAGTATCATCAAAAACTCCACGTCATCATTCAATTCCTTATGGTCATTCGTTCAATTCAGACGTCTTAGGAATATTTATTTAATTTCACTGTTCGTTATACGAACAAGGCAACAACTCCCTCCCTCCCTACTCGGAAAAACCTGGTCAAATGGGGTCTGTCATCGTCTGCTGATTGTTCCTTTTGCTCCTCTCCTGAGTCACTCCTGCATGTCATCTCTGGTTGTAAAGCATATCTAGATGAAGGGCGATTTACGTGGCGGCATAATTCAGTCCTGAACTTCATTGCATCCAGCCTTATGAGTACCGAGCGATACAAACTCTTACGTAGATTTGCCTGGCTTTATTACTCCGTCAGTTATCACTGGTGATCAGTTACGTCCAGACCTTCTCTTTAGCAATTGAAAATAAATTTTTATATGTTTTGGAACCGACTATTAGCTTTGAAACAGTACATAACTCTAACTCAGATCGAAAACATAAAAAATACTTGCCGCTTATTTCAGATCAAGAAAGTAACAATGATAAGGTAAAATTTGTTATTAAATTAATTTATCCATGAATAAGCTGGCTAGGTGTTTTTGGTCAATCGACGAACACCTTAACTGATATGCTCAAGGAACTGAAGTTCGATTAACAACAAATTAAATATATTAAAAAAAATCATTGCTACTTGTATTCGCGCATCATATTATGTATTCTGTCAACGAAACAAAGTCTGGATTATAGCCCATGCAGAGCTTTTAAAATTTCGAACGATGTTAAATAATTTCCTTATTTTTGTAAATTTATATTATCCAAATATTTCAAGTAGTCATCGATAAACTACCTTTATGAGCGAGGTTTATCAATGTAAATATAGTTTTATGGTATATTATGAAATAAATAAAGTTTCCATTATTAGTATTATTATTATTAATGATTTTCCCAAAACAAACAAAATGGCGGAAAGGTATTTTAAACACAAATGTGAAATGAAATTGCCGTGGAGGAACTAGATGAAAATACGAATGAAAGCACCAAATTTTGCTTGAACAAAAGAACTAAATGAAAATACAAACAAAAGCACCAAATTTTGGTTGGAAGTCTGGCAGGATTGGGCTTTGGCGAGAGAATATGATACTCGCCCCGGCGGCTCGTCCAATTTTGGCAAAATTTCCAAACATCACTCGTACTATTAATCCCTAATTGTACTCGCCATCGCATGATTACCTATACTTATTATTGTTATTATTATTATTATTATTATTATTATTATTATTATTATTATTATTATTATTATTATGGAGCTTTTCTTGGTCAAATAGCGTCAGATTCGACACGTGATAAGTTTGGCGTTTGAATTATCGTCGCGCCGTGTCGACCTAAATATTGGTGTCGAACTTAATTAAAATCCTCTAACTTGTCACGAGTGTTTATGTAAATGTAAACGGTTTATCAAACTCTTTGTAGTTACAAAATAACTAAATTGATGAGTTTAGAAAATTACACTCCAATGTTATCTACATCTAAATTCTAAATACCTTAAACTACACTAAAAGAAACATATTAATGACAATAAATATACTTGTCGTTTCCTTGTGGATGCTCCAGAAAATGCCAGAAAGCAGTCATTGTGCATCAAAAACATACCAATTTTCTGGGAGAGGACCCCCAGAACCCTCTGTTTTCTTTGCAAACATTTAACTGGCCTGAGCCCCATGCAAATTCAGAGTCTATCATAATTTACAACTTTTGACGTTGAAAATCTAATTCAGGTAAAAAAAATCATTTGACCCCCAGTCAAACACCTGATGCTTCGTAACATCCCTGCATGTATGTATGAGCAATTCTAATGTTTTCTTAAAAAAACTTGAGTGGTAGCTTCTCTTGCCCCCTTCCTCGCTACTTTTATCATCTTGCACATCATCATCTTTCCTCTTGCCACTGGGGGGCAAGAAATGTTTTCAAGCAAAAAGTTTTGACCCAGGTCCTAGCATATATTCATGTCTTTATGCTGCAAACAATTTTTTGTACAATTTTTAGTTTTTTTAACCGCCTGCAGATGCATTAAAAAATGTCTGAAAATAGAGTTAAAATAAAGTAATTTTGGGATGTACATTTCAAGAGCTATAAGGTGATTCACTGACACTTAACAGTCTATAACATGCAGGTGTTGATAAACTCGTTGCCCTCTAAGATTGTACATTGTGGTCCAGTATTTTAGTAAATAACTGTCAAAATTCGTGTTTACAACAACGTCAGTAAGAGTCTTTGACAACCATGCATGAAAAGCGTAGATTTTACCACCGGTTCTGTCCACCATACGACCTGGTCCAGGCTTTCGTTTTTTCTCTCATCTCATTGACGTTGCCATGTAGCATATTGAGTGACGATTCAAGATTTGCTATCTTTGCCGTCATTTGTTGCATCGCTTGTATGCCTTCCTCTTGTTTGGTTTTTATTTCTGCCAGATCTTTCTTTATTTCGTCTACATCACGTCGCAACACACAGCCATGGCCGCCATATTTTAGATGAGGCATTCTTTTACCACAATCGTCACAGATTATTGTCTTGAACCGACATAACTCTCTCTCGTGCTGGTTTACATCGCGTTTAATCACCATCGTTTGTACACTGGACAGGCATGAAATCACAGTCCTGAACGTGTGCCTGTAGTGCTGTAAGCTCCACAACTGCAGCACAACCTGCTGTTGCATGGTCGCAATTGATCTTCAAACGCGAGACGAGATCTGCAAGAATTCTTGGTGCCTTGGGCAGTGTCTCGGCAGTCAGTTTCTCTTGACAGACTGGACAAGTTTGCGAGGTTTTTTCTAAGTGTTTTCCGATACAACCTGAACAAAAATAGTGCTCGTTGTTTTCACATTGCATTGGAACTTTTAAAACTCCAAGACAGATTGAGCATGTGAGTCCTTCGTCAATAGTTGCTTGAAAACGATTTGTATCGTAACCCTCAGCCATATTCCTCACTTCTGTCTTCACATATAGCCTGAAGAAACGGCCTTACATGTATTGACAATTAATTACTTGCATAGACGTTTCCTGTTCTTTAAAGACGAAGTTAAAGTCAAATATAGCGAGACAGGCTCGCTTCTAATCGCGCCATTTTCGCCCACGTTCAATATTTTTACCGAGAACTGGCATGGCCTTTCAGGAAATGCAAATTTCGAAAGCATTCATGCATGCATAGTTTTACATACACACATACATCAAATTTTATTCACTGTTGAATACGCTGGCCCCAAAAGAATATGTTGATTTACATTGGGACGTCGTAATGTACTATACAAGAGAATAACAAATAAGGGAATGCTATTGGATAAGGTTTTGTGTGACTTAATTCCGTGCGTCTGTCCTCTGATAGATCATGGCTCTCGACCAATGAAAGCGCTTGAATTCTTAACGTTATTATATAATTTAGATTTTTTTATAGATTGATAATTATATAGATAATACCATATATTTATAAAACGGAGCCCGTGCGGGCAAAGCGATTGCAATGGAAACCGGCCTTTACCTGTGCATTTTTTGTCCGCCTGATTGCTCGCGGACACGCCATGAAGTTGAACTACATTCAACTTTCTTGGCGTGCCCGCGCGACTGATTTTTCACGTGATTAAAATTGCTCGCTTCACCCGCGCGGGCAAAGCGACCGCAATGGAAAATGGCCTTTATAATGACGTCAAACGCGCAAAACCAGTTTATGCGATGTCCCACAGGTCAATGCAAGTCGTTGGCGAGCCAATAAATTTCATAAAAACATAATTTGCATTGCCCCTTGGGACATCCCATTAAGTGTTTTTCCGCGTTTGACGTCATTATAAAAATGGTCTATTGTACAAGCTTTTTGGAAAGACTTAAGCTCCGTTCAAACGAATCCAAATTCTCCTATCCGAGTTCAAAATTAGTCTACCAAAAATTTGACGTTGTTTGAATTCCGAGCGCGATGTACGGCGTTTTCAATATTTTCCCCCCTATACATTTGCACTGGAAAAAAATAATGAAATTCATACTATGGAATTTGCGATTACACCACTACGTAAATCCATAGCATATCCATATATCTCAGTATACTACGGAATACGCGATTAGTATGAAACTATTTTCCACACTATTTTCAACTATAAAGATCCATACTATTTAGTAAGGATTGGAATTTGCCGCTGTAGTGAAAATATTTTGGTGCTGGCAAACATGCATGTGACCATGCATATGATGTTCTTTGTACTATTTATATATTATGTTACATGCGTACCTAACCTTCAAATTTGCGTGGTACTACTTTCTGCTCAGGCTTGAAATCTCGTGATTTATTTTCGACCACGCTAAAATCAGTGAGCTCCATATATATCGGGAGAGAGAACTCGAGTCCAAAAAGTGAAGCCAGCTTCGTGTTGACCGCGCAGATAAAAGCAATAGAAAGGGACTGGAACTGACGTCCAATAGCTCCTTCAATTTCCGCCATTTTGGCAAGGAGTGTGCCGAAATTTCATATTTTGACATCGATTTAAAGAATAATACTATGGTTGTATGAACTGATAACGTGGTCAGCTGCACGGTCATAGAAGCAGAACATCCTTCGTCAACACATGCATAAAAAAGAATTTTGGATTTTGACTATTAGTATTAAATGTGGATTATTAAAAAAAAGGATTATTAAAAAAAACTTAACGACACAGCAAAAAATTTTGAAAAAAAAATCGTGCACGTTGAAAATGGACCCCCCCCCCCCC